CATTCTCTGCAATCTTTCCTTTGCATCTTTGTTGACTGTTGATTACTTGGTCGAAACTTAAAACGTGTACTTAAGCCTGGAATTTGTTCGAACGTTGTTCAATCTGTGAACCATCGAAAATGGATTGTTGTTATGTCGCCATCGATCTTCAATGCTTACGTTCTTATGTTGAACTGTTACTACCCGACGTCAGGTTGATAACTAAACTCATTTCCAATGTCTCAGATTTTACTGTACGAAACAACTTTCCTATCCTCAAATGTTTGGACGAGTTCCCCATTCTGCGATGATTTTCTTTTATCTTCTACTGGCTCGCATCATCGCACGCTCGCTGCCGTCTCACAAAACCGACATCACAGGACGAGCAGAAAATGGACGACTGGAAAACAACACGATACTGTTCCAACACTTTAATCTTCCACTCGCGGCTTACACAGCCGGCACATGAACTAGACAACTGTCCAGGCACACATTATAACGCAAGTATCAAATATTACCTTCAAGCAGAAATCACGTCCTACACTAACATCGTGAACGAAACACAACTGCTGTCCTGACAGACAAACTCAGACGACCTGCAGCTTTTTTCGCCAAGTTGGACAGGAACAAATTCACTTAAAAACCATCTGCTGAATCCACACATTCTGTATAACTTCATTCTCACGAATTCCCCACCGTTGAAAATCGTGTCTGGCCCGTGATAATTCGCATTTCACACGAAGCCTGTCAGTCAACCTTCATGGTTCACGTGAACAATCATGTTTCACATAAAACCTGACTTTCAGATGTCTCTCATGAAACTCAAGACACAAATCTCGTGTTATGTCAGCCATGGACGGTACTCAAAGAATGTCCTAAAGCGTCACAGCCATGAGCAGTACTTAAAGCATGTCCTAGAGCGTCACAGCCGTGGACGGTACTCAAAGCATGTCCTAGAGCGTCACAGCCATGGACGGTACTTAAAGCATGTCCTAGAGTATCACAGCCATGGACGGTATTCAAAGCTTGTCCTAGAGTATTACAGCCGTGGACGGCACTTAAAGCATGTCCTAGAGTATCACAGCCATGGACGGTACTTAAAGCATGTCCTAGAGTATCACAGCCATGGACGGTACTCAAAACATGCCCTAAAGCGGCACAGCCATGGACGGTACTCAAAACATGCCCTAAAGCGTCACAGCCATGGACGGTACTTAAAGCATGCCCTAAAGCGTCACAGCCATGGGCGGTACTCAAAGCATGTCCTAAAGCATCACAGCAATGGACGGTACTCAAAACATGCCCTAGAACGTCACAGCCATGGACGGTACTCAAAACATGCCCTAGAACGTCACAGCCATGGACGGTACTCAAGGCATGTCTTAGAACGTCACAGCCATGGACGGTACTGAAGGTATGTCCTAGAGCGTCACAGCCATGGACGGTACTGAAGGTATGCCCTAGAGCGTCACAGCCATGGACGGTACTGAAGGCATGACCTAGAGCGTCACAGCCATGGACGGTACTCAAAACATGCCCTAGAACGTCACAACCACGGACGGTACTGAAGGTATGTCCTAGAGCAGAGCTATTTAACTAAATTTACTCAGGGGCCAACATTTGCAAAATGATGATTGTCACGAGCTAGATACCTGAACTCCCACATAGAAAGGTCATTAATACAACTGGCAGTGATTTGGCGGCCACTTGCTACGCATCCACGGGCCGCTAATTGAATAGCCCTGTACTAGAGCGTCACATCCATGAATAGTAGTCAACAAAAAGGCAGGACTGGATGAAATGGTAGAGGCAAAGCTTATAAGTGTTTGAAGGGGAGAAACTCCAACCAAAGAATCGCCATTGTAACTATTATTGTCTCCCATATTTTAAACACTAAGAACTACACTTGCGATGATTTCTATACACGTGAAAATGTATTCAAAAAGGTCTTGAAGATGTTCGCAAGTTCGAATCACAGTCACAGTAAACTATTGTGGTTTATATTGGTGTGTGGATGTAATTTTTGTGTCTGCCTCTGTGTGTGTGTGTGTGTGTGTGTGTGTGTGTGTGTGTGTGTGTGTGTGTGTGTGTGTGTGTGTGTGTGTGTGTGTGTGTGTGTGTGTGTGTGTGTGTGTGTGTGTGTGTGTGTGTGTGTGTGTGTGTGTGTGTGTGTGTGTGTGTGTGTGTGTGTGTGTGTGTGTGTGTGTGTGTGTGTGTGTGTGTGTGTGTGTGTGTGTGTGTGTGTGTGTGTGTGTGTGTGTGTGTGTGTGCGTGCGTGCGTGCGTGCGTGCGTGCGTGCGTGCGTGCGTGCGTGCGTGCGTGCGTGCGTGCGTGCGTGCGTGCGTGCGTGCGTGCGTGCGTGCGTGCGTGCGTGCGTGCGTGCGTGCGTGCGTGCGTGCGTGCGTGCGTGCGTGCGTGCGTGCGTGCGTGCGTGCGTGCGTGCGTGCGTGCGTGCGTGCGTGCGTGCGTGCGTGCGTGCGTGCGTGCGTGCGTGCGTGCGTGCGTGCGTGCGTGCGTGCGTGCGTGCGTGCGTGCGTGCGTGCGTGCGTGCGTGCGTGCGTGCGTGCGTGCGTGCGTGCGTGCGTGCGTGCGTGCGTGCGTGCGTGCGTGCGTGCGTGCGTGCGTGCGTGCGTGCGTGCGTGCGTGCGTGCGTGCGTGCGTGCGTGCGTGCGTGTGTGTGTGTGTGTGTGTGTGTGTGTGTGTGTGTGTGTGTGTGTGTGTGTGTGTGTGTGCGTGTGCGTGTGCGTGTGCGTGTGCGTGTGCGTGTGCGTGTGCGTGTGGGTGTGGGTGTGGGTGTGGGTGTGCGTGTGCGTGTGCGTGTGCGTGTGTGTGTGTGTGTGTGTGTGTGGATGTGTACTTATGCATATGTGTGTGTGGGCGTGTATGTGTGTGTTGACATTATAGGAGGAGAAATATTACAATTCTATAAAATATATTTCGAGATATGGAAACACAGGCAAATATATGACGGCTCGGATGATACAAAGGGAAGCACAAAATATCCCTTTCGCCTTCAGAAACCGATACTTAAGGCCTTGCTGTCTGTTGCAGAGAACTATAATGATACATTTATTTCTAACACACTTTGTGAACAAGATTTTCTCAGGTATATCATGTATACCCGGGGGTCTTAGCTGCGTTGAGCTGAGTAGTAAACCGACATCGTGGTGGATGGAATGATTCCCATACACACTTCTGACTGTCTACCCCACTAGGACATCACACAAGCGATAAACACCCGATGACACAATATGCCACCATGCGGGTGAGGATTACCGTGGAGAGGTCCCAGAAACCGCGTTCAGCCTTTAGGTCATATTTATGGCCAGGTTATATTGCGGCCCCTGGCAAGAGCCAGAGTAGGGCTTCAAATAACGAAAAATTCATCCTAACAAAGTTAAAAGTATACACACACACTTGACTGACTGACTGACTTTCTACCCCGCCAGGACATCACACAAGCGATAAACACCCGATGACACAAAGTGCCACCATGTGGATGAGGATGACCGTGGAGAGGCCCCAGAAACCGCGTTCAGACATTTGGCCATATTTATGGTCTGCCTATATTGCGGCTTCTGACAAAGCCAGAGTGGGGCTTCAAATTACAAAAAATTTCGTCCTAAACAGGACGTAAGAGTGGTGGGTATGCGCACACACACACACACACACACACAAACACACACACACTTCGTCTTTATCTTCAGCATCTGGTGAGGAGTTTGAGAGATACGAGTGCTTCTTTATTCAGTAAACTCCCTTATCTGCACCGGTCTGAGGGTACAGCACTTGTAGCTGTCACGGATATCCCAGGTTCTACCTTCCATGGAGGTGACATCGAGTATCTAGATTTTCTCCTGAAGGTCTGTCATCTTGGGTGTGACTCTTAAAGTTGCACGGCTCGTCAAGTCAGAAGACATTTTCGTGTTACGGCCCTTGCAATAATCTAAGGTGTTTTCGAGTTACGGCCCTCGCCATAATCTGGCAATATCCATCTTCCTCTTCTGTATTCTATTCCACCCCCCCCCCCCCCCAATGGGACCTAGGCCCTCAACCTCCTCACGCCGTCGTCCTTTGCTATTGCATGCAGCTCTCACGGTGTCTTGGTTGCCTAGGTTATTCTTGTTTCGCTTTTTTATTTTACTATGACTGGTTGGTTTTTACAGGGTGAATTAACCAAGGCTTAGTAATACACAGGCGATTATCCTCCCCTTGTCAGTACAAACTTCTGGTATTTCACTTATCTTGGAATTCTAGTATCAAACTTGTTTTGTTTCCATGAGATACCTCAACTCTGATGGAAGTGTTATTGTGTGTTGTTCTGTGTAACTGTATCCCTGATAATCTATATTTTATGTTGATGGAAGCTTTATAACAAGAACGTTTATTTGTCATTTGCGACTGAGATAACGTGAAAATAATTGGTTCTGCTTCTTATGGGAGGCAATGTTTTGTTGCTTGAAAGCCCTAACACGGCTGTTTCCGGGAGCCCTATTATAACCTAAGGTTGAACAGGGTTTCTGGATAAGGGATTCTCATCCGGGAGGTGGTACTTTGTGTCACTAGGTGTTAACCCTCCGTTTTGAAGTCCTGGTGGAGTTGAACGTCCCTTGCTCACCCATTTTTGCTTCTTGTAAACACCATCCATTTTTGACTACAAGTTACCTGGTAACCGTTTTGTGGTCCCTAATATAACTGTACACGATGGCTAAACAGGCATAATAACATCACCAACCATGTGCCAATTGGCTATAAAATATAGGTCGTGTCCTATATGCCTAATACGCCTAAAGGCATAGAAAAAGTGTCGATTACTTTTTAACTTAAATAGCTAAACGGTTGAACGACGTTTCCAGGATTTGCATTTCAAATCTCAAAGGGTTCTGCTTCTAGGCAAGTTTTATATATTTTCATTTTAAACCTTAAAGTGGCAACCGGGAGGGAAATACAGACAGGCGGATAAGGATTTGTCACACAGAAGACAGTATAAGATGTATGAGGCTAATAACATAAACACTTACTTTAACGTAGATCTCTGCTACTCGTTTGGCCAGGTGCAAGCTGCCAACGTAGCCTGTCCCCGAACAGTAGGGTTCGTAACTGTCGGCAGGGAACTCGTCTTTGGAGGCATACCACTTCGATAGTGTGTCTCTGATAACTACCACAGACCTGCCAGACAAAAATGTGTCTTTTAATTTCAGGAAATATAATTCTAGAAGTGTTCTTCTTATGTTGGTTTCATAATTGACCCTTTTCCGGGCCTTGAGGCGTACTGAGTGTATAGGACTAAACTTTTGTTTCATAGACCAATCGGCATTCGGTGGGTGATGTGGTCAGCGCCTCAGGGGTCACATTTATTTCTCAGGACTCCACCGGGTACCCACTCAAGGCTGAGAGCCAAGGTCATTTTTGAAAAACAGTCCGACTTAAGTCAGGTCCCGAACCCACGACCTTCCGATTCGCAGGCCACCGTCTAGCCGCTACACCAATGCGACTTCAGAGTGACTCAGATTTTCGTGATAATGGTGATGATGGTCGTCATCATGATCCATGGTGAAAACAACTGGTGCTTTGATTTCTTGCACTAGGTCACACTTTGATTTCTTGCACTAGGTCACACTTTGATTTCTTGCACTAGGTCACACTTTGATCTCTTGCACTGGGTCCTACTTTGATCTCTAACGCTGGGTCATACTTTGATCTCTAACACTGGGTCATTCTTTGATCTCTTGCACTGGGTCCTACTTTGATCTCTAACACTGGGTCATACTTTGATCTCTTACACTTGGTCATACTTTGATATCTTGCACTGTATCATACTTTGATCTCTAACACTGGGTCATTCTTTGATCTCTTGCACTGGGTCCTACATTGATCTCTAACGCTGGGTCATACTTTGATCTCTTGAACTGGGTCCTACTTTGATCTCTTGCACTAGGTCATACTTTGATGTCTAACGCTGGGTCATACTTTGATCTCTAACACTGGGTCATACTTTGATCTCTAACGCTGGGTCACACTTTGATCTCTTGCACTGGGTCATACTTTGATCTCTTGCACTGGGTCCTACTTTGATCTCTTGCACTGGGTCACACTTTGATATGTAACACTGGGTTAACTTTGATCTCTTGCACTGGGTCATACTTTGATCTCTTGCACTGGGTCCTACTTTGATCTCTTGCACTGGGTCATACTTTGATCTCTAACGCTGGGTCATACTTTGATCTATTGCACTTGGTCATACTTTGATCTCTTGCACTGGGTCCTACTTTAATCTCTTGCACTGGGTCATACTTTGATCTCTTGCACTGGGTCATACTTTGATCTCTTGCACTGGGTCATACTTTGATCTCTTGCACTGGGTCATACTTTGATCTATTGCACTGGGTCATACTTTGATCTCTTGCACTGTGTCATACTTTGATCTCTTACACTTGGTCATACTTTGATCTTTTGCACTGGGTCATACTTTGATCTCTTGCACTGGGTCATACTTTGATCTCTTACACTTGGTCATACTTTGATCTCTTGCACTGGGTCATACTTTGATCTCTTGCACTGGGTCATACTTTGATCCCTTACACTTGGTCATACTTTGATCTCTAACGCTGGGTCATACTTTGATCTCTTGCACTGGGTCATACTTTGATCTCTTACACTTGGTCATACTTTGATCACTTACACTTGGTCATACTTTGATCCCTTACACTTGGTCATACTTTGATCACTTACACTTGGTCATACTTTGATCCCTTACACTTGGTCATACTTTGATCTCTAACGCTGGGTCATACTTTGATCTCTTGCACTGGGTCATACTTTGATCTCTTGCACTGTGTCATACTTTGATCTCTAACGCTGGGTCATACTTTGATCTCTTGCACTGGGTCATACTTTGATCTCTTACACTTGGTCATACTTTGATCACTTACACTTGGTCATACTTTGATCACTTACACTTGGTCATACTTTGATCCCTTACACTTGGTCATACTTTGATCTCTAACGCTGGGTCATACTTTGATCTCTTGCACTGGGTCATACTTTGATCTCTTGCACTGTGTCATACTTTGATCTCTAACGCTGGGTCATACTTTGATCTCTTGCACTGGGTCATACTTTGATCTCTTACACTTGGTCATACTTTGATCTCTTACACTTGGTCATACTTTGATCTCTTGCACTGTGTCATACTTTGATCTCTTACACTTGGTCATACTTTGATCTGTTGCACTGGGTCATACTTTGATCTCTTGCACTGGGTCATAATTTGATCTTTTGCACTGGGTCATACTTTGATCTCTTTCACTGTGTCATGTTAAGATGAAATACGATTTACTGCAGATAAATTTCGTCAGTCTTGCGGCCCTTCTGTCTACAACATATCAAAGTTGGAGATAAACTGATTGATTTACAGTCACACGATAATAAACATGTGTGCAACTAGTGGCATTCATAGCTATCGAATATCCATCACGCAAGGTTTAAATGTCACCCGGGGCCCTTACCTGCACACACCGCCAAGAGATGTTCGTAGCTGGTTGCTGAACTGTTTCAGAGTTGCCAGGAGATTATCTACATCCACCCAGACATCGTCATCTGTCTTCAGGAAGTACCTGCATCCATGAGAATATACAGGTGTCTCATCAGGACATGCTGCAACAGTTAGCTCTTGTAGTCTCTAGCTCAGTCCATAACAGGGGCGCTGTGCTAAACAAATCATTGAGAGTGGGTGGGCGGGAAAGGGGTGGGGGTGGGGTGGGGGTTACTGTCCCCTTATAATTTCCAGGAGAGTTTAGAGGATTCAAAGTTTTGAGTCCTGTTTAAATGCGCAATTATTATAATTATTATTGTTGTTGTTATTATTTGCTAGATGGCAAATAAATAAAATTTTTGAAATAAAATAAAATTTGTTGACAGATACCTTATAGAAAACATCCACTTAGTTCCCCCTAGCAAATTTTCTAGGGTAAATTGGGGTCTGTGCGTCCAAAAATTACTGGGTGGAGGGGGGTGCCTTAATCTCGATTGAAAAATATGGGGGTTGGGGGCCTTTTTAGTGCCTAAATACCCAGTTTCCGCGCTCCCAGTTCAAAAGTGAATAAACTGATTCTCATAGGGCTCTCAGTGGTGAAGTGGTCAAACCATTTGCATCGCGCTCTGAAAGTCTTGGGTTCGTTTTACTGACGCGTTGTTCAGTTTATGGGCATCCCGGGGAATCGTCGCTGGAGCCATGAAGTTAACACTTGCTGCGACGCTCTCGACGCTCGCCGTTCTGCGGAGAGAGACCGAGTTGTGCTTGACAAAACCCGGTGCAGTGAAGGCGATCATCTCGACTGGGTCTTTTTTTTTTTTTAGACTGACACTAACAGGGCAGCAACTTGACACGGGTCTATCTAGCGTAGACTATCGGCAACAGCTGCATAAACTTGCTTTAGTTTCCCTTGCAACATTTTTTGGAGGCGCGTGTGTGTGTGTGCACGCACGCACGCACGCACACACACACACGCACACACACGCACACACACACACACACACACACACAAAGGAATCCGCAACAGTTACCGCCAACGACATTTAACGGAAGGCATTTATGTCTGTGTAAAGAATCACCCTTAATCAGTTGAGCACTCTGGCCTTCAAAAGTTTAAAAAGACAGACAGACAGACCGTCAGACAGACAGACAAACGCATCTAATACATCAACAACCAAAAGATCCACCAACTTGGCGTCTGGACATCGAGTAGCAAGCCACCTCATGCAGGTCACAGTTTTCAATGTCAGATTTCGATAGCTGTCCTGGAACTCGGCCACCACGATGTCTTGATGCGCACGGGACTCATTGAGAACTGCTTGGAGGGTATCCTCCTCTCTGGGCTGCCCCAACAGGAAGAAGTAGCTGTAATATAGCATACATTCATTATTTCGATTCTTCTTGTCTTATTCCGCCCTCTATCCGCGCTGGAGCATAGGCTATCAACCAGCTCACCGCAAGTCATCCTATCCTTCGCTATTGCATGCAAGTCAAACATGTCCTCCTCATCTTTTTAACGTCACTCGTTAGCTCGTCTCTCCTGGTTTATTTCTATGCGCCTGTGGGTTCCAGTGTAAAAACATTCTGTTATATGTTCATAGGTTTTGTAAACGTGTGTCCTATCCAGTGCCAATGTATTTTCTTCACCTCTTGATTCGCTGGAATTTTAGTTATCTCCCAGAACTCAACATTAGTGATTCAATAATTCTCTTTATTCTGCACGGGCTCTGGCTAATGAATGTCTGTAGATGACGTTTCAAGGATCCTTTTACCAAGTCGTAGACCAGATAAAGAAATCGAGATGTTTCGCAGTCAAGCTTGATGAATCAACTGTCGTAAGTTAGCATGCTATCCTTCTTTGCTTCGTTAGATAAAGTGAAGATTAAAACATAAGGGAAGAACTTCTTTCTTGTCCTGATTTACCTGAAAAACTAAATCAGAGTATTTTCAAGGGCAGAGCTTAGACTGGATGAATGGATATAGAGTGTGTACGGACGGTGCTGCAAGCATGACTATGACTTGACATCGATCACAGGTAGTTGTGAAAATCAAAGAAATCGTGCACCTAGTTTTGTCAGCTCACTGTATGATCTACTGGAAGCACCAGAACCTAATGGTGAAGCGAAAAAAGCTGTCGATGCCAGACATGAAATATACAGCCAGGTTTGAACTCCGGGTTGTTCACGACACTGTGTGAGAGTATGGATTGGCATCATCACCTTCTCCATGCAGAAGTGAGATGTTTATCGAGAAGACAAATTCTTGCAGCCATTCTTGAACTGAGGAAGGAAGTAAAGCAATTCCTGCGAGAGCATAAATTTGACCTAGTTAGTTCTTTGTTGAATGAGGAATCAATGGTTAAGCCGGCGTATGTGGCGGAGATATTTATCCTCCTTAATAAACTTAAAATATCCCTTCAGCTGATTTTTACAAATATTTTTTTCACTTAGAAATAAAATAGACGAGTTTAACGATGAAAAATAAACGGATTTTCTAATTCTACCACTGGGATGACGTCACAGGACAGTCCAATATTTTCTAGGCTGGTAAGAGTGGTTTTCCGAATTTCTGATGCATTTAACTACCCCAGAACATCTAGAACTGGGCCTAACTAATCCCAGCCCACCTAGGTCCCACGAGGAAATGCAGCCAAGGTTCCACGATAGCATGCAGCCTATCTACCACCCCCTAAAATATTCGACTATATGATAAAGATAGATTCTCCCCCAATGGAGCATAGGCCCTCAGCCAACTCACGCCAAGTCGTTCTATCCTTCGCCATTACATAGAGCTCTCCCTATGTCCTCCCCCATCTTTCTAACTTGATTCTCCAGCTCTCTTCTCCGTGTGTGTTTTTTTTTTTTTTCTTTATTCCTATGCCCCTTTCCAATGCTAAGACATTCTGTTGTCTATGTTTGGTCAGCTGTCGTGTTGGCCAGGAAACAATTTCAACTTCCTATTATTTTCTCCGCCGCGGGTGTACAATGTTGAGGAAAACTGGTCTAGCATACGGTTAAATATCTGTCCACCTGTACTGGCCAGGTTGCACTTTATCACAGCACGCAGCAGCTACTTCTTCTACACACTGGTTCAGAAAAGCTACGTCCGAATTTAGCTCGAGCCCAGCTGTGAGGAAAGCGAACTAAGTTGTTGTTTGCGCAGACAGTTATTTATGCATTCTTTCCTGTCATTGAAAGCTTAGCCTAGATATTTCAGTGCCCCTGTGGAATCTATGTATATGAAACATAGCATATTACATATTTATTTATAAAATACAAACAGGGCACTCATCACCCACTGCCTGCCCAAAAAGCATGTCGTAAGAGTCGACTAACTGGGTGTTTCCTTCAATGTCGGAGTGCATTTGCTTGAGAGACGAGGTACCAACTGTCTGCCATAAAAATAAGACAGATCTGTGAAACGGATGTGCAGGCAAAACTCATGTTCTGCAACAAGTCTAAAGTCCAGAAGTGGACAAACAACTAGAACTTTCCACCGGAGTGCACAGCCGGTGATCACGAAGAAGAAGAAGACTCGTGCCATTCCCCTATGTAAGTTCCGAGGCCCCGTTGTGGGAAAAACAAGAATAGACCCACTGCCTTACCAACAAGCATGTGTTACACAGTCGTGTCTTTTGTTCACAACCCAGGTTCACTTATTGTTTGTCACAAGGGTGGCGGGTGTTTGTTGACAGACGAGGAGATAGATGGTCGTGTCGTTTAATAGTGAAGTTTAGTGAAGGAGGAGGTGTGTTGCTTGCTGCATGCCTCTCACGTGGCTCTAATGCTTGAATAACAAAGTGTCTGAATACAATTGTTTTCTTTCTTTAAATCTCCTTCTTTAATATTGTAATACTCTAACAAGTGTCACAAAACAAAACAAAATCACATTGTTTTCTCTTAACTCTATGCACTAATTCCTTTCAACTACTACCTAAGCTCTGGCCTCATCTTCATCTGACTCCGAAGTTGTCTCCACGCCAGAATCTGTATCGAGCGATACTCGATGGAAATAAATGTCGGTTTCCCGTACTAAGTAACGGTACACCCGAGCCGTTCCATCATCGTTTGTCAGGACGATGGTAATCTCTTGAAAAGGGCCATAGCTTCTAACCGTAATTCTGATTGAATACATGTATACTTATGTATTTAATTTTTTTTTTTTCACTACAAAACTGACCGGTACTTCGCTCTACTATTCGTCTGTCTCTATGTCTAGCCTGTCCTCTGGCCTGTCCTCTGCTGTACTCTGTTATCCTTTTTCTTCTGTCTCTCCTCAACTATCCTCTGTTGTCCGTCTCGTGTTCGTCTGTCCTGGCTGTGCGTACATCTGTCTGTGTCTGTGTGCGTGAGCTCCGGTCCCCGACTGTCCGATTCTGAATCTAAGTCTATCTATCTGAGCTAATCGCTGGCTGAAGACCCCCGGCAATCGCTTATAAAGGGGCCACTAGCTACTCCTAGGGGGCTCCCATCCTTCCTTGTTTTGCAGTTTACTGCCATCATCTGAGCTGGCCGGGACATCGGTATTTGATTAATTAGTCTGGAGCTTGGACGGGGAGAGTCACATGTCAGGTCGTATGGTTCAAGTAAGTGGGAAAAGTTCTAACAATAAGGGTGAAAGCCACAAGGGTCTTACCGTGCAAACAGTACAATACTAATAAAAAGGGGTTGGGGTGCGGACCCTGTTACACATGTAGTATGAGTCGACTTCTTCTTCTTCTTCTTCTTCTTCTTCTTCTTCTTCTTCTTCTTCTTCTTCTTCTTCTTCTTCTTCTTCTTCTTCTTCTTCTTCTTCTTCTTCTTCTTCTTCTCCTCCTTCTTCTTCTTCTTCTTCTTCTTCTGCGTTCGACATCAGCCACGTTAAACATTGAGTCCCGTCTGGGTCACAAATAGGATTGTTCGATAAGGATCGTCACCGGTCCCCCATAGCTTCTCTTGTAATGTGGCTCCCTTGGGCCAGATCCACAAGCTTTGCTGGTAGTAGTCTAAGAGTCGACCAATTGGGGGCATCCTTCAAGGTCGGAGTACGTCTGCCTGAGATATAAGGAACCAACAGTCTGCATATAGATAAGTCAGATGTGTGAAACGGATGTGCACGCAACACTCAGGTTCTGAAAAAGACTAAAGTGATAGATGAACACTCAGAACTTTCCGCTGGAGTTTACAGTTGGTGAACAAAGACTAGTGCCATCCAGCGGTTAGTTATGGAGTGCATGGTCGTGGCAGATTGTCTTTCCGACATTTTGGTATGCCTAGCCTGGTCTGGCCACGCTAGGTTCTTCTAGTCCCCACCAATGTTGGAAGTTTTTTTTTAGGTAGGGTTATCGATGACGGCAGTAATGAAACAGAAATCAAAAAGAGAATAAGAATAGCTAGAAAGTCTTCAATAAGATACGAAAATTATTGTCAATTAGACATTAAAAATGATAATCATCAAATGTTATACATATTCGAGCCTGCAAAAACCTGGGCAATGAACACACATCCAGAAAATCGAACTGAGCCTTTGGAAGTGTATATACACAGAAGAATAGGTAATATTTCAGGGAAAGAAAAAAACAACAAAGAAATTCTAGAAAGACTACAATGAATGTTGAGTGTTAAATTAAGAATCGACATCATAGCCCTCGTGACACTCTCATAAGCGCCCCATTCATATCTCCAGCAGCAAGCGAGGGTTTCCAGTTCCGATGGCACCAGTAACTGTTTGATTGTATATCCGTCTCGCCTTTCCCTTGAGTGTTGAGCGTAGGTCAGATCCCTTAGTAACTCCTCGCAGCGCTATTCTCCTCAGACCGTAAATTTGAGCTTCTGCGCAATCCACTGGTTCTCAAATGACCCTCACAACATCTAGCTTGTCATATCTCAATTCACCACGAAGTGGTGCAGAACCGGCCAGCCTATCTGGTTGCTCGTTTTCCAACACACCAACATAAGTGGAGAACGGCAGGCATACTCAATATCTGTGCTCCAGATACGTTGAGACAGAAGAGTCATTGATAACTGCTTGTTGGAAATAGGTTTGAACGAGGACAAGCTTGCAAAAACTGGCAGGGAGATATACCAGTTAACAAATGAGTTAGATTACCTTCACAGCACTCCGGGCATATCCATATGTGCTCAGATTCCCATCTCAACATATTCATCAGCGTCGCGCGGTTAATAGCGCCTGTCCTATGTTGGTTAACAAGACTTCGTATGCATCCGGTGTGCTTCTCGTGCTTGGCTGTACCGATCTTTACTCCTAATTCTCGTATCCTTAGCAGTGATGTGGACACGTCGCTTCCAAAATCCTCAGAACGTCCTATCTCTCTAAGGGCAATGACATTGTCTGCGTGATCCATGGGCCGGCCATCTTCAATTATAAGTCAACTCCTACT